ATGCACCCAAGAGCTGCTCGATCATGCAGAGAAGACTAAGCTAAGATTAACTGGAATAAGTGAAAATCAGAAAGCAACATGAATGGCATAAAAATTTATTTACAGGAGTAGTGACAAAAACCCTCCTAAATTGAGACAAAATTAAATATAAAAAACAAGTGAGACACCACATTGCACCCTAGAAGTGCACCACAGGTACAAAACCTTAAAGTTCTTGGGGAAATACAACTCATCATCTATAAAGATAAACTCAATAGTCACTGTAGACTTTCATACACAAACATTAAAGGGTGGGAGGATTTGGAGTGAAGTGTGTGAAGCCCTAATGGTAACAAATCTATAATTGTATCAACTTTTAACAAAATCTCCTGCTCAGCAAATCAAATGAAAAACACAGTGAAGAAACAACCTACAAAATATGAAACATTTTCATGAGCTGCTCCTCAGACAAAGGACTGAGGTCTACAATGCAAAAGAACTCAAAAAAATTAAATAAATAAACTCAAAAGGGCATCTGAAATGGATGTCTCAGATAATGAGATACAATTTTTTAATAAATACATGAAATAATTCCAACACTTCTGTCCATTTGAGAAATACAATTTAAAACAAACCGGAAATTCCATCTCCAAAAAGAATGTGCCTCATTAATAAATCAAACAATGACAAATGTAGACAAGACTGCAGGGGAAAAGGAATACTTCTGCAGTGCAAATGCAACTGTAAAATAGCCCAACCCTCATGGGACTCTGCATGGAGAGTCCCCAGAAAGTGACATCTAGACACTCCATCTGACCCAGCTATTCCTGGTCTATGCACCTTCCTGGCTGACTCCACTTCTTACACAGTGATGCACACATACTCGTGCTTAGAGCACCAGCTCACAACTCTTGGTCACAAAGAATTTCCTGGACATAAAACACAGCAAAAGTGAAGCAATGAAGTTGAAGAACAGGTATTTGTGTTAGTTGTCTTTCTTTGTTATAGAAACTAATGTCTCTCCCCTCTCTTGTTGTTTTCAGGTGACATTGCTTTCTTTTTTATGTATTTAGTGCAGGTTCCACAGGGTCTCACTATGAAGATCAGACTCACAGTGATCCTCATGTGTTCAGCCTCCCAAGTGCTGGGATTACAGGTGGGTGCCGGCACACCCCATCTCAGTCAAGGTCTCAGCAGGTATTCTTTGAACCTTGGGGCTGTAATTCTAATATTACTGCAGTTGACCTTTGAAAGACTGGTGACCTTGACTTTCTCACACTGCAGTAGTTATCTTTCTCAAAATTTCAGGCATTTTCTTTTATCGTTTGTTTTGCTCTATTTATTTTACTTATTTATTTTTCTTTCTTCCTTTACTTAATTCATTTTATTTTTTTAGTTCATATTGTAGGTACTTTTTTGTTTTAAGTCTAATTTGTACTCTTTATTTTTTTTCACAACCGATTACTGGCACATTTTCAATAATTAATACATTATATATTGTTGTCTTAGTGGTTATTCATTGTACAAGATTTGGACCTGATATCCTGTCTCAAATACTATTATAACAAACCTCTCTATTCATTGAATTAAGAGAATGGAGCTATATATCTGTCCTAAATATTTTGAGCATACACATTAAGAAGGGTCATTCATTTCTATCCCACTTTTTTTGGTTAGTTTTGTCAGAGATGGGCATTCCATTGTCATTTAAATATTGTAGGTGCTTGATTCAGCTTAATCTCCCAACATAGACCAGTAGTTCATAATAGTAGTGAGGTTTCCGTAAGACTGGCAATGTCCAAAGTTGTTGACTGGACCTTTTTACAACTCAGCATATTAATGTGGCTTTACATTTTATACTTCATAGTTATAAATTTCTGCTGGATGGTTAAGACCAAGATAAAGTACGACCTATATAACAAGAAATGTAACTTTTATATTTGATAAAGTCAGTAAAATCCCCTCAGGATTTAACCTGAAACCCTATAATGCAGTTTGTAAATCCTTTGTAAGTGTCAGCCATGTAGATGAGTCATGGCCATTGTTTGACCAATTTGCTCTCTGTGAAAGCCTGAGAGAATGTTTTCTCTCCATGTGACTCTCCTTAGGCACATTGATCACTTTCTTCTGTGGTCCCATGATCTCCTTGATCAGAAAATTTAGGACACAACTGAGTTACATAAGGTTACAGTGTAGGTTCTACCATGTCCTGAGCTCTCATTGACCTTGAAAGGCTATGGCAAAAATGCTTGCTGACTTTGAGTCTTCTTTTTCTCTTATTCTTGGTCTTCAAACTTAGGTCATTAACCCTCTAGAAGAGAAGTTTATTATTACCTTACGCATATGCAGTTGGGTTTAACCTAACTATCTGTCTGAATATCTAACATCTTAGGCATAGCATGGAACAGGTATTTTCCATCAAGTTTTGATATGTTAAACTTTAATTCCCTGCAGAATATGAAGACAAAAGTTTAAAAAAATTTAAAAAATGAATAAAAAATTTCATAATTTTACACATAAATTAGGAAATCTAATGATATACAGTATTGTTGCAGGACTGTCCTGCGACATTGTTTTTTCCTGTCTCTTGTTTTCATTTATTGCCTTTTTTAAAAACAAACATTTACTAGAGAGACAGTATGGCAGTAATTGGTATGTGGTGACAAGCAGTACATATTTGGAACACCAGAATGGCAGGCATTCCAAGCATGACCCTACCATTACACGTTGCTCTATTTAGTGCAGGTGCTTAGTCTGCAGTTAACAGCACAAATAGTGAGAGAAGGTGAGAATCCTACCAATTAGCTTCTAGTTTCAAAAACATGCTGCAGGTTCTCAGAATTCTTGCCCTACCTGTCTTATGCATATAAATGCATGGTTTTCCCCTGTCACTTTTCCCAGCTTTTCTCCTTGCCCTCTCCTCATTGTCTAATTCTCAAGTTCTCATTTCCTTTTAGTTCTGTTATACCTTTCTATTTGTATTTCAACTTTTGAGTTTGTATACTAGGGAGAATGTCTGATATTTACACATGTGCATCTGGTTTATTTCACTTATGAGTGTATCTTTAAGTG